AAAAATCATTGTGATGGCTTTCTAATCGATTTAGTGCATGTAGGTCGCTAGAATTTCGGCTTGGCTTTCTTTAAGTTCCGATACCAGATTTTATATTTGAGCACCCGGCTATAAGAGTGAGTATCTGGTCATAAGCATCTACAAGCTAATCAACTCACTTTATATGTTAGATGGAATTTAGGATTTCGAAATTTCAGCTCTACTGCCTTAATTTTATAGAAGCAGCCTAAATTCATGTCCGCTGTTATAAGCTGGGATAAAATAAAAGCCAGGACTTAATTTCTGACGTTGGTTCGAAATTCATTTTCTACTTTGAGTCAAATTGCTTAAAGGACTATTTTGCCAAAACTTTTTGTTGCTGCTGTTAATTCGGTTACTTTTTCGCTTCTTGAGCTGCAAAAAGATCTCGAAAATTTTGAACATGAAATTTTAGTTTAAAACTACACTGATGCTTAAAGCACGGTTTTAGCCTGTTAACTACGATGTAGCAATGAATCATATCGGAATTGTCACTTTGCACTGTTTGAGTTTTTGCGTCATGAAATAACCGAAATGAGCACCCTTCCTTTTTTTGCAAATATGTGGAAATGCCCACGCAGCGCGTCCGCAACAGTACCATCTCACTGGTCGATTCTGCCTTATATACACAAATCATGCGGCGAGTGCTTGCCCGCTCGATCACATAGAGCCGTTATGATCATAAAGGGCTTTAATTCGTGTCTAATAAATCGCCTCCAAGCGGATAAGCCCAAAGCTGTCTTTTACGCTCCCATACTGCTGTACGACCGTAAAGAAGCAGTTCTGAGTCTAGTGTTGTACTGGTATTTGTGGTGCTTTAGTAGAGTTAACGGCAGACATATTCGGCGACAAAGTCGTTGTGTCGCTGCCCAGAGCCTCGATTAAGTCTGGCATCACAGCAGCTGCTGCTTTCTCCGCCTGCGCTGTAGATTTTGTGGGTGGTTCCAGGATTTCCACGACATGTTCATTCAACCAGTACGTGTTTACATCGCCTAAAATTATTTCTTATGTTGGTTTTATGAATTAGTCCACAAAAACAATCACCCCGATCTGAATGTGCTAACCTTTGCCCTTCACGTGAACGATCCCTCGTTTCGTGAGCTTGTATTTTGAGGATTCCATCAAAAGTTTTGCAGTACTTTCAGCCATCTGTATCTGATTTGCTTGACAGTTACTCTGCATTCGTGATGCAAAATTTACCTGTACGAAAGATGTTATTTACTTTGAGAAAAAAAAATCTATTCAAATATGAAAATTCTTTCGAATATGTGTAACAAAATTTCTTCTGAAAACACGGAACAAAATCCATCTGAATCCCATGCATTCGGAAGC